CAACTATCACTAGATATCGCAGTACCATGTAAACAGGGCAAATCCGAGAGGTGAGTGATGGGTGGATCCCACCCACCCACCCACCAGGTTATTGGATGCTTCCTGTTAATTTAAAAGACAGCTCTTTTTTTCAGAATGCTGTAGCCCCATAGTCTACTGGGTTTTCTGCTAAGGCAGGAGGTTCTGCACATGGTTCAGCTCTGCATAATATAGTAGTATACCAAGATCATGGTATAGGCCCACTAGGCAGAAGCATTAACAAGGTGGCATGTACAACAGCTATCTACGGGCAAGGAATGGTCCAGATGGGGCATAACTCCAGATAGTTCATGAAGTGAATCATGTTCCCTGCTGGTGGGAGGGGGGAGGGACAAGATGATATCCAGTGGATAGAAGAGTATTTGGAATTGATGCAATTACAGGTTTGGCCTTTTAGTTTTAAAAAATAACAGAATGATATTTTAATTGATATGAAAATGCATTTTTTTAAAAAAATCCTTAACCTTTCTTGTGACCAAGCAGGCCTACTTCTGCATTCCTAAGCACTAATGCTAAGAAAGGGTTGCTGTAGCACCATTGCAATGTCCTGTTTTGAGCCCAGTTTCAGAGCATAGAGTGCAAGGGATCATTGACCATGACATTGAGGTAAAGAACTGAGAATGGGCCATAGGAATGGATAATGTGCAACCCTCCCTGAGGTGCTGGCCTCATGCCAGGGATGGAAGTAAATGTGGCTCTTTTGGTTGAGGGTAATAGAAAATGCGGCTCTTTCACAAGCCTACTGGGTTTCCAAAACTTCTTCATTCTTAGTGCTTGTTTTCTGTTGGGGCTGATACTTTCGGATCCTGAATTTACTCAGATCCATGTCAGTGTTGTTTTCAGTGCTCCATCTAACATAAACTGTGATTTAGCATACTGCCTACGTGACCTGGTTTGGCTGTCTTAGGCCCCGGTCACACGGGAGGTTTAGGCCCGGAAGAGGGACAGATCGGGGGTGCAGCAAATGGGCGTGATCACACCGCAACATCTGGGAAGCGGCGCACACCCATCCCTGATCCAGCCCTTCAAGCCGAAAATGTGCATGAAAAAAGAACCTGTGAAAGAGCAGGACTTACCTGAAATGCCGCAGCAAGCGTGGCCGTAGGATCGCCGGCGCGCCTGTCTTCAGGAGCATTTGAGGCTCCCGGCCGAACTGCGCATGCGCACACATGCACAGCCGGCTGCTTCATTCTCCCTTCAGTGGCTTCCCCCCCAGCATCTGATAGTGCCAGGGAGCAACTGCGCGGCGGCTCAGGGGAGCGCAGGGGATCTATGGAATCCCCCCGCCGTGTGTTTCTTTTAGGGCAGCTTTAAAAAGCTGCACCCAAGGCTTCCCCCCCCCCCCCCGGTGTGGCAGGGGCCTTAGACTGGCAAAAAAACGAAGAAGTCAGAATATGAGAAATACATGATCAGATGCTTCTTTCTTATAGTCTCCTCTTAGCTTTGGTCCATTTTCATGCAAATATACCTTTTCACAGGTTCCCAAACTTATTTGGCCTACCGCCAAAAGGCTGCTTTAGATAGATTCTGGACTCTTCTTTCTTTATGCTTCCACCACCCCCTTATTTGTATTCAATGCCCCCTAATTGCACCCAAAGCTCCAACCACCTTCGTTCCAACACCCTCGGGGGCGGTATTGCCTACTTTGGGAACCGGTGCTTTAGATGCTTCAAAGCCGTCTTTATTCGACCCCATGCCAGAACGTGGTCCCTTCATCTACATTCTACAATCATGTAAAACCAACCAACACAACCCATGTGTAGCTTATTTCAGTGTAGTGGGGTTTGTTTGTTTGTTTTGAAGACTTTGAATTTGAATTTAGTTGGGAAAGTAGAGGTCACAACATATCCATATCAGAAATCATTCTTCTTCAGTTTTTTCGGAAGTGCAGCCCAAATTGCTCTATGTGTGCTTTTGACATTGCTAATGAAAACATGAGATCTCTGTGTTGCAACTTGTCCGTTACCTGCTTAGCCTATACTCTTCCTCAAAGGAGCACTACACTCCAAAGTGTAGTGGTTAAGTGCACAGACTCTAATCTGGGAGAACCGGGTTTGATTCCCCGCTCCTCCACTTGCAGCTGCTGGATGACCTTGGGCAAGCCATAGTTCTGTCAGAGGTGTTCTTGAAAACAGCAGTTTCTGTCAGAGCTCTCTCAGCCCCACCTACCTCACAGGGTGTCTGTTGTGGGGAGGGGAAGGGAAAAGAGTTTGTAAGCCACTCTGAGACTCCAAGTGAAGGGCGGAGTATAAATCCAGTCTCCTCCTCGTCTTCTTCTTCGCATTTCCCTTCTCCATTTTATTCTTACAACATCCCTGCAAAGTAGTTTATTCTGAACAAATGAGACTGCTCCAAAGTCACCCAATGCACTCAATGGCTGAGAGGGAGTGTGAACCCAAGTCCTACTCTAACAACTCCGCGCGGAGCGTGGGGGGGGGGGGGGACGACAACAGGGCCATTTGGCCCAAGCCTCACATTCTTGGGGGGGGCCCCTCAAACTTACACTTTTGACATTAAATCACATGTTAAATAAAAATGGGAACATTTATTACAGTCTTGCAATATTCTTTTTCTTATTGTATTAAATGTAAACATTTAAAATATAATACTACTAATTTTGTATCATTGTTTTTGCATTTCTTCATTTTTTAATTTACCGGGGGGGGCCCTCCAAAATGAAAGTGGCCTGGGCCTCTCTTGACCTCTGTGAGGGCCTGACCATACTGTCTTCCTATGTGATGTTAACTTACATTGAATCAGATAGTTAGTCCACCTAGCTCAATAGTGTGACCACTGGCTTTCTGTGGTCTAAGGCAGAAAAAAGGTGTTTCCTAACTCTTGCCATCCTTTCACTGAGAATTGTCAGAGACCGAATGTGGGACCTTCAGCTTGCAAAACATGTGCTCTGCCACTAAGCCACAGCCTTCCTCAGTGTAGGCAAAATAGTACTGAAATTATGTGGCATTGTACATTACATGTATTGCAGTGTGTAGAGGATAGGGTGGACAGAATGTGACCTAAGTCATCCCTGATTCAAACCTCACCTCAGCCAGTAACTCAGTCAGTGGCATTAGGCAAGTCAATATCCTCTGAGCCCCCCCTGACTGAAATACAGAGATATGAATCCTGGCCTACCTGTTGCCAGGAAATTATGTATGTGGAACACTGAGAGCACTTGAAATTCCTAGAGGCAAGATGGCGAGTGAAGCTTTGAACTTCCAATGTCAGCAAATATTCCCTTCTGGCCAGCATTCCCTGGGATTGAGGTTAGACTTTGGCAAGCGGGCTTGAGATCCTGTCTAGCTGTAATGTCCGTGAATCAGGGTTTCCAAAGCTTAAAAATAGCTGGTCTTTGTAGCACAGAAAGTATAGTACTTTATCAGTAGCCTGTTAGTGCCACCTAGTGTTGTCTCTTTACATTTCTGTTAGTTAAAGGAGGGTGGGGGGGACCCTGATCTGGCCATTGTTGTAAGGCAGAATTCTTATTTCACACAGAAGACAAGCTTCCTAGTTGCTGTCCTCTTCTGTGAGTGGTGGTTCTTTTACTGGAATGTGGGTCAGTTTACTCTCCCCTTTCTCTACCAATCTAGAATTAGTTCACCATGATCCCTACCTCTAGTTCTTCCCTTGCTACTGCTGAATGGGTTTTCAGCCTTTCTAATCCCATACTGTTTATCAGTGCTTTCTGTTGCTAACATATTAATGTGCTATAGCACATAAGAGCTCCAAAGTCACATAATTGTGCTAGTTGACGACTGTGAACTGTTCATTGCCTTTGGGCTAATGAACGGGCTAAGAAGATAAGGAAAGGTGGGTGTTAAAATGAGCTACTGTGAGTTAGCATGATGGGAAGTCGTTTTGGCCATGTATTTCTCAGGGACCACAATGAAGGAGCTGTTTATGCAGATACCTAGGAAGAGGAGTATCCTTTTTACCTTTGTTTCTTGCACAGCAGCAGATACCAAAAGGAACCTGTTCGAACAGCCATCTTCCCTCTTTAATAGTTCTTGTGAGGCACATAGAAGGTTGTGTTCCACAGAAGCAGGATGAGCCTGCTTGCGGGATGGGCAGGGTATAAATATAATAAATAAATAAATAAATAAATAAATAAATATTTGATGCATCTTAGATGATCATTCTTAGCTCTCCTACAGTTTAATACTTTTTAAAACTCTGACAGCTTGCAACACCTTAGATAGCCGTGCCAGCATTTGTAATGAAAAAGAATTTGGAACGCAACATTTTTAAATGATGTGGTTGTTTTTTGAAAGTTCCTTCCATTCTTTATATTTGCTAACAAGTGCATAGATTAGCTGTACCATTTGTGCAAGTGTTATTATTATTGTGGACTCTCAGGCAGTGGGCCTATATAAACCATGAAAACTAATGAGAAGCCAAGTAATCTTTCCCCCTGCAGTTGATATCATTTAAAAAGTTTTTGTCTGATTCACATCTTACTCTCTGTTTGATTGACTGAAATTATTTTTATGCTACTTCAGAGCCAAAGCACACAAGGCGGTACACAGAATTTAAAAATATGTATATAGATAACACAGCAATCAATAAAAAGCAATAAAACTAACAACAGTGAGTACACAAACACCGGAGCACTTGGATCTATGACTTCAGTAATGGTGAACTGCTTAACTCTTATGGTGGCAGAGAAAAAGGTATGAGCACACTTTGATGGGATGAAAATTCCATCAGGAGGAAGGAAGGCAGAAAAAGTATAACTAGCAGCAGATGTAGGAGCTGTTATAGTGGCAGTGAATAGAGCTTGACGGTGTGATCCTAAGCAGAGCGCACCCCTCTAAGTGCATTGAAGGCAAACGACTCAGAAGTGTGCAGTTCTGGCTAGAGGACTGCACTGTGAGTGACTCTAAGGTGAGATCTGGCTTCCTAGTGGCTTCCCCACTCCCTTGTATCTTAGAATCTCATGCTTATTTCCCCCCTTTGTTTAGTTTGCAGCACTCCTCCTGTCAATATGAAAGTGCAGCCGGTGAACAGAACAGCTTTGCTAGTGACCTGGAACCAACCAGAGACAATCTATCACCCTCCTATTATGAACTATATGATTTCCTACAGCTGGACTAAAAACGAAGACGAAAAGGAGAAGACCTTCACCAAGGACAGTGACAAGGACCTGGTAAAACTGCAGCATCAGAAATTGCCATTACTATTGAGATAGCTTTACTCTGTCTTTCCTCTGTAGAAGGTGGGGTGTTTTTTTTTTTTTTTTAGTGTTTGGAGCATAAATTGAGTTCATGATTTCTACTCAGACCCATTTAAAACCCATGAAAGGTGTTAGGTGCTACCACTGTTCCCTCTAAGCTCCCTCCGGCTCACACATTTTTGTCTTCGCTCAGGAAGGATGGCTCCAGAGCAAACTAATTTATGCAGCAGCCAAATCTCTCGCTCACAACTTTAATGCCAGTAGCTCACAGAGTAGAATTTTTGCTCACAAGACCCCACAGCTTAGCCCGCCCCGGCCCCCCCGCCGCCGCCCGGGCGCAGGGCTCTTTTTGTAGCAGGAGCTCCTTTGCATATTAGGCGACACACCCCTAATGTAGCCAATCCTCCAAGAGCTTACAGAGCTCTTCTTACAGGGCTACTGTAAGCTCTTGGAGGACTGGCTACATTAGGAGTGTGTCACCTAATATGCAAAGGAGTTCCTGCTACAAAAAGAGCCCAAGGCATTACAGCACCCAGTTCTGGTCCTCTGGTTTCTCAGCAGGTTCTTTTACTTGTACTGGTGTGAAGACTGCGTGGGGACTAGTTTGCTTGATGAGGAAACTGTCAGGCTGGATTCCTACTCTTAGACCCAACACCTAATCTTGAAAATCTCCCTAAAAATTTTAATAGTTTCTAGTGTGAACAGGCCATGAAAGACAACTGGGGACTCTTTGCTTTAGCAGCACCATTCCTTGTTTGCCTTTGGAGCTGTCTATACAGTCATATGTATGGTTACGCAACAAAGTAATGGTTTAGATTTTATAAGAAGCAGAAATGCTGGTCAGGAGTGTCTGGATGTGGATAGGAATACCAATCTGGCTCTTAAGATGGGATCTACTTGGCATTCGACTTGCTTGTCCAAGCCGAGGCAAGCGACAACTGTACAGCTCTTTAGAATTCCATGTGTATAGACTCAAAGTGACATATTCCATTTTGAAAGGCCTCCGTTTATTGTTAATCAAAGCAAGCTCCTGGAATAATGAAATCAGTAATTGTATATGCACATAAAAATGCAGCTGCAATGAGTGAAATTTCTAATGACAGTTATCTTCTTTTCTCCTCCTTTGCAAATACTCACTCCTTGGGTATCATTCAATCAGTTATAGAATAATACATCTCTTATTCTCCCTTAGATTGAGGTTCTTTTACTTAATTTCCATTTATATTTTCAATTTCCCCCCACTAGAAGTTGTTATCTGGGTCACATTAGGGTGTGATGTGCTTCACAAAATCAGAAAGCAATCTTCTGAAAGGCATCCAAGGTTACGATGTATTATAATCTCAGCCTTGTCATCACTTCACACTCTTATTAATTAGCAATAAGAAGAGATTCTGTTAATCAGGAGGAATATGTGTTCACAAACGGGAGGGGGAACAGTCCCTTCCCCAGGAATGGCTGTTGCACAAGTTTCAGCTTTTGTTATTCTAGAGCTGATTGCTTAGCTGTTGCAGGTGCTTCCATTAGCTGACACTTAGGAGCCATATATTTCAGCTAGCACCAACCTGTGGTCAACAGGATGGCAGCCCAAATGGATCTTCTTTCTGAGCGCTTCAGGTGCTATTCCACAGGTGTCCTCTTTCCTGCACCGACTGGGTGCTCCTCTATCCATCACTCCTATCTTCCATGGAAGTGAAAGAAGAAATAAGATAGGGAACATTTCACCTTCTGCAGCCAATCCAGGGCTCCTGTAAGCCAATTCATGTAACCTGCAAATGCATTGGAGCAGAACTGGCCCTCACTATGCCGCTATAGATGGAAGTGCTTCATGGATGCTCTTAGCTCCCTACTGGAAAGGAAGCGACGCATGTCTTCTCACAGCTTAGGGTTCATCTTTCAACCACAGGATTGAACCCACACACCTGAAGCTACGTTATACTGAATCAGACCTTTGGTCTATCAAGATCAATGTTGCTTGCCCTGATTAGCAGCAACTCTCCAAGGTATCAGGTAGAGGACTTTCACATCAACTACTACCTGAACCTTTGAACTGGAGACACTGGTTATTGAACTTGGGACTTTCTGCATTAGTGGCTTGACCACTAAGCCATGGTTCAGCTACAAAGAGATGCTTCTAGCTGTTGCTAAAGCCTTGAGATTACAGGTATCATGCAGGGTATGAGGGTAAGAGCATGAGAGAAAAGTAGGTAGGTAGACCCTAGGGAATTTTTGTAAAACAAAACAAAACCATTTCCATTCACATCCTCACCACCACATATGGATGGCCCTGAATGTCAGCTTTCAAGTAGATGTATCAAAACTATGTATGTAAGCTTGGCAGAAACAAATAATCAACTTAGAGAGTCACAAATAAACAAGAAATTTGTTCAGTGTCTTTACATAATTACCTGGTGGATGTAGCTCTTCTATGAGCTCAATAATTTGTTTTAGGGGTGTAGCTTCATGTTGTCATTCCCCAAATTCTTTTTTGGTCAGTGCATGATCACTGGGAAGGTTTTTAGTTATTTCACAAGAACTACTGCAGGCACAGGCTGAATAATTTCAGTAGTATCCTGAACAAAAGTAAGTGTTGGTTGTACAGGCAAGAGCCTTTTCTCCGAGGCTCGTTCTAGTTTTGAGTCACATTGAGGCCACCTAACTGAGGTGATTACACAAGCCTTTAATGTCAAACATAATGTGAATATAGGCAGAGGGATATAAATCTAGGTCTGCACTCCTACACTCTTTTTTAAATGTTCAGATTATCGGCTGCTTTACCAGTTCCATTTTGGGAACCATCATAAATCCATTTTGGTCTTTTCAGGGTCATGAAAAGAGGGAAAGTGCCCTTCCCAGTCACTGGTAAAATTGTACACTGAGCTTTGAACACCTTCCCATGTGGCAAGACTTAATTCTTGAGACGAGTGTTAAATGATAGTTACTGTTTACCATTTGCTCCCATGGAGGCATGGGATGGATTCAGTTATGAGATTCCCCAGATTCCTTTACAGTGCCACCTTCACCTGAGGTCCACTGGTTATTGTAGGTGAAGAGCACCATTGAATCCATACAGAAAAGTTTTATAACTTCTCTGGAATTCTGTGTCCATTGGCATAATCCCTTACGTTAGGCCCACATTCAAGGGGGCAAGTTCCTCTCTGATCATACAGTAAAAAAAAAAAAAAACACCTTGGTATAAAATGTACTTTACGTTTTGTTTATGTTTTACAGGCTGATTGTTCAGGATCCTGTTGGGAGGGATAAAACTGAATAATATCTATTTTTTTTAAACAGAAAGCCATCATTAGCCATGTCTCACCTGACATCCTTTATCTGTTCAGAGTTCAAGCAGTTTGCCGAAATGACATGCGCAGTGATTTTAGCCAAACAATGCTCTTTCAAGGTAAAGCCATGTGATTTTCCTTTTCTTTTGTAACTTTCTCTTTGCCTACAAAAGGGTGTTGATAAAAAGATTTGCAAGCCAGTGCTACCTTTAGGAGCAGTGCTTCTGTCCGGTCGTTACCGTTCAAGGTTAGTAGGAATGGTCTTTTGTGATTTATGATTCACAGAATAGCTGGCGTTCAAGCCAGTGAATTTCTTCCCTTAGAGTGGGGCACAGATAAAGAGTGGGAATTGAACTCTGGCCTGGTGTGAGCTCATGCCTGCCTGCTGCTGTCTGCTGTCAACATGTGTTGGAGCATAAGGGCCCTGCACAGTCCTTGGTCTCCATGGACTGGGGCAACAGGGAGGTCTTAATAACCGTAACTTTCCTGAATACTCTGATTTCTCCTCAGTACGCAGGAACCCACTCTGCATACTCTATCACCAGTTTGCTAATCAGGGAAGTAATAAATGCTATTAGCCAGATCAGCGTATTTCATTCCAAAGGGCTCTAAATGTAATAACTGCTATCTGAATAGAACAAAGGTAGTGTAATGTGAGGTGGGCTCAAAGAGAACTTTTCAGGTCTTTCGTCCCACTGCAGCTCTGCCACACATGCGCTCTCGCCATGAAAGTGAGGAGCTGCCGTCAGAGGTATAAGCCAGGAAATATCCACTGTGTACATTGAAATGCTTGTGGACATCATTATATTCTGGACCATCGCTCCCATAATCTTTACTTTTCCATAAACTGCCACTGTTTGCCATTCAGACATAATGACAACTATGGTTTGTTGCTAGATGAGTGAATGAATAATAATAATTGTTGATTCTTCAGCTGATCTTTTTTTAGTACACATAATTGCTTCTGATGAATATTTGTTTGTCATATTCCAACTGCAGTTTGTCTTAAGTGGCATTGTAGGATTGACATAATAAACAGGGCAATAATTTTGAACAATGGGGAAGTGTTAGCAAAGCAGAAGCCAGAGTCACTGCAAATCTGGCATTTATCAGAGTCCTTTGCTAGAAATGGACTTCTCTCCATCCATTTCTCTGGTTAAATTGCATTGTCACTCCTCTTAATGTGACTTTTCTTGTCACATCTGCTGTGTTTAAAATGCATTACAAGAGGGGTTTGCAGTCTCACTTAAATAATGGATATTTGCTGGAATTCACCTATTGAAAGTAAAAAGTAGAACAAGTTATAGGGATAGCTTAGCTTAACAATTTTCTTTTTTTTAAAAAAATCATAGAGCCTTGTCAGGAAAGAGAACTCATTTCCAGGATTTTCTACTCAATTGTGGGGGTCTTGTCTTTTGACAAGTAAAACCGGGTACAGCCAAACAAAGAAGCAAAAGAAAAGTATTGAATAAAATAAAATTCCAAATACAAATTCCTGGCATGAGGAAGATATATATAATCACAATATGTTCCATAAACCTTGAGTAAAAACTCTAAATAAATAAAATATGGACGGGAAAAATGTTTTAAATTTTAATTACAAGGACAAGAAAGCTAGCTCCTAATAAATCTGTATTTAGGCACATTTGAAAACAAAGTACTGACAGATATAAAAAGTACCCAAAAAAATAATCCTGGTTCCTGAATGTACAAATCTAAACCAGTACCAGGAAAAACCACTTTACAGAAGAAATGGAATTGTCTTTTTGATGCCTGGCCACAGGTGTGCTGCTGCTTAATAGGCTGTGATACCTGAATGTATCTGTAACTGTGCCATTTCTCCTGAGGGGAAAAAATCAAATCCCATGTGAGAAAATTGTATCAGGAGTAATTACCACACTTTTACTTTAACTACAGAAATAGAAGCTCATTGCTCCTGCAGAGAAGGCAAGTCTGGGTCTTCTCACATCATTTTATACTGACAAAATACCAATATTTTGACAAGCAGATGGATATGGACAGTTTAAGGAAAGAAGAGTCTTTAAGAGTCAGAACCTTGCAGGGTGCATTGCTGGCTTTTACAAGTGGAGAAGAATCAAAGAGAACTTGAAACAGGGGAAGGGCAAAAATGCTTGAAGTCCCTTTCTGTCCATAAGGATTGTTTGTTTCCTTTATTCCTCAGTGTGAGCAACTGAGCTCCTTTTTAAATTGTGTTTTAATTTTTTTTTTTTTAATCTTTTAATTCTGAGGTAGTTTTTACCAGTTTGATAATCCGCTTAAATATTGTTTTTCTCTGTTCCTCAGCTAACACAACTCGAATTTTTGAGGGGACCAGAATAGTCAAAACAGGAGTGGTAAGTTTTGGAAAATGAGTTGCTGGCATGATCATTTTTTTAAAAAAAAAATCATTAAAAAGCTGCACCATCTTTACCCACCAGGTGGCAGCACAATGTAGTAAATCTCCAATAAAATAAACTCTGAATGGAATTAATAAATGCAGCAGATTTTCATATATTATCTTGAGATGCCTTTTGCCATTGGATAAGTCTCAACTGCCTGAGAGAGACACATATAATACTAGGAATAACAATTATATCCTTACATTGGTAAACTTGGGTTTTTGCTGTAAACAAATGTCCATGATTTCAAAATCTTTGGCACTTAAGCATCATTATAAAATGTTCAGACAAACCTGTGGACTGAATCAATATGGTGAGAACATACTTGTCACCAATTTATTTCATCTTCTTTGGAAGTTCTGCACAAACGCCAGCCAGGATTTCAAAATGTGCTAGACGTTCAACATTCTTTGTCATACTTAGTGAAATGAGCAGGATAAAAAAAAAGCTGGCCAAAGCTTCCAAGGTGCAGTTTTCCTGTGGTAGGAATTTATCTTAAAATCTCCGTCCCACCGTATGTGCAGTAAAATCCTCACACACCCCAGGAATACGTTTTGTAACACTCTTGCTTCAACAAGTTAATGATACTAGCGTTTGGACGAGGATGTAACCTCAGCTGACGCTGTATGGTTTTTCTCAAGGTGCATATTTTAAGGAACACGAGAAAAGCCCAGTGGGGTCATACCCATATTCCAGTATAACAGCACCTTGTTTTGCACATTGTGTATCTAGTTGTGTCCAGAAGGCCACAAGTGGGAGATGAAGGGAACAGCTGCCCCCTCCCGTTCCCGCCGCGCAGTAACTGGTATTCAGAGGTCCATGGCCTCTGAACATAGTACTTTCATTTAGTCGTCATGCTGAATTACCATTGGAAGACCTATCCTCCATTAATTTTCCTGCTCTTTTTGCGTTTTGTGGCAATGAGTGCCATAAGTTAACAAAGTGCCGTGTGACACAATATCTGTTCGAAGTGTACTGCCCATCTCCCCGAACTTTCTGTATGCCTTTTCTTTCATGAATATCGATCACACCCCAGCTTAGTGACCCTTTCCCCCTTAACTAAAAAAACTCTCCTTCTTTTAGCCTGTCCTCATAAGGAAGGTGCTCCAACCCCTCAACCATTTTTGGGCATCCTTTTCTGCACCTTCTTGTAGCAATCATCTTTATGATTTTTCCCTCCCAATCTACTCAACAAATGGAACAAGCAAAGGCATGGATGTCCATTTCTATAAATGTTTTTAACTTTTACATCTCTTTAAAAATGAATTGTAGTCTGGCTGTGTACACTTAGAAGGGGTCGTGACATTCAGTTATCTACTGTGAGAGCTGCAACTGAAACATAATTGTGATCGTGTATTTTCAAGATTACGTCAGTATGAATTAGTTCACCGGAATGTATTATTTACTCATCTTTTTGTAAATCCATGCAAGGAGGCAAAAGACTGGCAGAGAGATGTGTTCTTCCTCCTTGTTAAACACAGGTTTATATTTACAGAAGAGAATCTTAGCCTCTGATGCAATTGATCATAGGGGGCCCTGACTTAACTTACATTAGACTGCATCTTTGTTTGAGGTTAAATAAATCCAAAAGAGGGGTATAATTTTATGAATGACTCCCTCGGGTGTCATTTAGTACACTCCTCTTTCTAGTATAAAAATATAGCAGAATACTCGAATATTTGCTGAGTGTATCGCAGCCTCGCTGATAATGGTACAAACAGACAACATTAATAGACCCCAGAAGGTTTGCAAGGAAGCCCGGCTGCTCTTTTATTATTATTTTTCCTACTAGGGCATGCAGGGAAACTCACAACTCAGATTGTGGAAGGCAGGCTAACACTTTTCCATTTGGGAAAAACTATGGGAGAGGCAGGCAATGGCAAACTGCCTCTGAGTTTCAATGGCAAGCTGCCTCTTGCCTTGAAAACCCTCCAGGGTCACCATCAGTTGGTTGTGACTTGACGGCACTTTCCACCCCCACCAAAGGTATGGGGAAAATGCAGCTGGAAGTCTACTCGAACGGCTGCTTTCTCACAGAGGGCCATCCTCCCTAATGGAGTCGTGCCAGCTGCTCTGTACTACTTTGGCCTCCCACAGCCTGTCCACCTAGTTAATACTGAGATTATTATTTCAGCTGTAGCAAATGAACAACTTTGGTCTTATTTGAGGGAGTTTTCTGGTGATAACTTCACAAATCATGTGCCTTTAACAAGGCATGTCAGTGATTGCTAAATATAATAAGCCTTGGCAAAATTATTTCCATTCCCTACTGTCCAGAGAAAAATGAAATGGGACATTAGAGTGAGAGGGAGAGAATGAAAAATGCCAAATGAGCCACATAGTCCTGTGTTATTATGCATATCGTCTAGAGCCCACTAAAAAAAATAACAGTGTGGAACTGATGTACCGTCCCCCAACAAGGTATCAACAGCCCTAATTAAAAAGCTTTTTGTGTTTTGCAAAATAATTATAGACACACACAATCCAAAATTAAAATCCCTCCAGTCCTACGAATTTCAGTGGGAGAGATTTAAGTATGTGTTGTTAAACTCTCCTATTGAAATCAATGGAAATTTAAAGTACCCAACTCTGGCTGGATCATAACTACGGGGGCGGGGGAACAAAACTGTTATTGGTGGGAAAATGTCATGTAAAGTGCCAGACCTTGTAGAATTCATAGCTATGAATGTATATTTCAGGTTAAAGTAGAAAACTATAACCTCTCCCTCTCTCTCTGAAACATAGTGTAGTTGTTTTATAATGTTGTTGTTATTTGTCTTGTAAATCTTTGTGTTGTCGCCAGATAGATTTAACTACATTTGTTTAAATATACTTGTCTTATTTAAACAGAATAATGGGCAGAATGGAGTGTTTGGAAAGAAAAGGAAATCAAAAGGAAAAAAGAGCCGAGGTAGAATGTCAGGTACCTCTACTGATGGTCTCTCTGCTGTGTTTTCTTCTCTTGTTCCCCCTGGTGATTTCTTCAAGCCTACAGCTTCTCCTGCACCTTCAGCCGACATGGCTCCCATCAGTTCTGGATCTTCTACTTGGACTTCCTCAGGCCTCCCCTTTTCCTTTGTGTCCATGGCAACTGGGATGGGGCCTTCCTCCAGTGGAAGTCAAGCAACGGTGGCCTCGGTGGTCACCAGCACTTTGCTTGCAGGCCTCGGGTTCAGTGGGAGTGGTATTTCTTCTTTTCCTAGTACTGTTTGGCCCACTCGTCTCCCAACGGCTGCTGCCGCCAGTAAGCAGTCAGTCAGGCCAGTGGTCGCTACCACTGAGGGTCTATCTTCTCCAGGACCAGACAATGATTCCACTCTCACAAAAGACAACGAAGGAGCAGAGGACGGAGAAAAGGATGAGAAAAGTGAAAGTGAGGATGGTGAAAGAGAGCATGAGGACGAGAGAGAAAAGGATTCAGAAAAGAAAGAGAAAAGCGATGTGACAGAGGCGGCTGATGTACAGAATAACACAGAAACGACAGACACCACTGTGGCTCCTAATAGAACTATGGAGGAGGGAGGGAATAAAACCATACCTGAACAAGAGCCGAGCCAAAACATTTTTCCGACAGGTAGGACTCCCAGAGGAGAAGGGGTTACAGAAACAGACACTCAGTCCAAAACAGTCCCTTCCACCCAAGTGCCACCAGCATTCACAAATGAACAATATACTGGACTGATTTCGAGAGGGCCAGACACAGCATCAAGGACACCTTTACCAAATGGAAGATTTCCAGAGGAAAACTCACCAGATAACAGATTTATTACCATTAACCCAGGTGAGTGGCTTTTGTAGGGATTGGGGTAGTGTGGAAGGAGGGGGCTGGAAGTGGATAGAATCACTTCACCATAACAAAACTGATCCTCTTCAGCTGTTTTTGAAGTGTTGTTGTTTCAACATTCGGCTGTTGCCTTTCAGCTTTCAGGTGGCCTCACTACATGTTATAGCAAAGCTTTGCATAACTCTTCCACGCTGTGAACTTCCATGTTTTGAAATATTGGTAATGATAATAATATTTCATACTGTACTATAATTTCTGTCTGTGGATCCAATACACAGGGGCAGTGGGGAGTTCGCCATGCATTAATTTTCTATATGGTGAGGAGTATTCACATTTTTTTTAAAAAAAGCACAAATTTCATAAATGTTTAATGGCGAGGCAAACTGGGGTTTTGTGTAAGGGTGCTTCTCTTTTCTGGCCACTGGCCACCATTTTCTGGAAAGGCCACCCTATGCTCTGAGAGCCACTGCTGTAGATTGCTTGGAGGGGGGAAGACAAGGAAGCAGACAGATTCTTTATGCTGACACAGTCTGCCATCTGCGTACAGTCTGACAGTCTCACCTGACAGCATCTTCCACGTCCGTTGTGTTGTAATGGCTGGGTTCATAACTCTACATAAGCACTTTAAACCCTCCCACATGAAACAGGGTTAACCTGGTTAACCTGGACGGTTTTCATTTAGAGAGCAAGAGTACCGGTTGTGAAAACCATCATAGTTCATTTCAAGATGCACAGGTCAGTTGTATGAGGCAAATATGCTGTATGAGAAAGCTGGGCACAGTGTCCACATCTTGCTGCTTAAAATGTAAAGGCTGGAAGAGATTTTGGATGTTCCTCCCATTGACTTGTTTATGGATTCTTATGTAAGTTACTAGGCTTTTCCTCTGCTGTGTTTGTCACCTTTTGTTCCTTATGTTCTGGTACTGTAACTGTCGTTGATGGAGGCAATCTTGTAATGTATAATTAACTCCTCTCATAAAGGGGCCCTGCTCTTATTCTGTTCTGTGGTATACAGCTGTAATACAAGTTTCTGCCTTTTAGCTGAGATTTACCATTAAGGAAAACAAATAATGGTTACCTACCCTAAATAGTATTGTACATACACTGCAAACAGCCACGTGAAAATAAAAGCTAATAAAAGGGGGAAAGCCTATCCTCTAAAAAAAAAAATCCAGATAAGAAGGGATAGACAAAATCTTGGCAAGTGTATTGTAATGGTGTAATTTTTAAAAGGGTGTGATTTTTAAAGGGCTTTTGAAGAGCAGCTGGATAAAGATCTTTGTAAAAATCTCCCCAATTTTGTTTTGTAAATGTAGTAAAAGGAGGAAGCTTGCCAATGATACAGTAGGGCCATTGAACTACCAATGCAAGAGAGGAGCACTCATGGATGACAGGCTAAATGAGTTCTTTGCATCTGTCTTCACAAAAGAAGGTATAGGAGAGAGGTCAACACTTGAACTATTCTTCTTGGGCGATGAATTGGAAGAGAAGTCACACACTGAAGTGTCCGCATAAGAGAATGTGGAGCAAATTAATTGATGTAAGGAGTGATGATGCAACTAGACCAGCTGGCATTCACCCAAGGGTTCTGAAAGAACTTGCGTGTGGAAGTGCCGAAATGCTGATTCCTCCTCTAAAGGACACAAAAATGGCTAATGAAGGGCCAGCCTTTCAGTGTACAAATCTCCAGATATGATCCTCCGAACTCCAGTCTGTTTTGAAAACTTGCATGTAGTGAGTGGTTTGAATTATTTCGATGCATAAACAGAAGTGACGATTTAGAGACAAATCAGCAAAAAGTTCATTTCTCTGAGCAGGTGAAATAACCCTGGTATTGAATTCTTATCTGCGGGACTTCCCCTGGGGCTTGAAGGCATTTATTGGGTGAACCTCTAAGCCATCTGATCTGAGAACTCAGACCAAATTAACACAATTCCAGAAGGTGGGAAAGGAGCAAATTTAGTGCCAAATATAGCCAAATTCCGTTGGTTTACAGCCCAGTCTTACCAAAATCTGCATGGAAGTTGTCAGCGAAACTGTAAAATGCAGTTCAGAAGCGGACAGGTGGATCAGCTGCATAGTTGTTTCTGGGCCTGCAGAGGGCATACTGGCTTTTCCCAGATGCACAACAAATCGGTGCTCTTATTGTTGTTATTTCCACCTTCCTTTTACGAGCTTCTGTTATTCTGGTGGAAAACATTAGTACATTTAGTATGTAGAAAAACTGGAAGCTCATTTTAAGACAGTTGTCATAGTAATAATGAATAGTTAGTTAAACTGTGTACAAGGCAATAGCTGGAAAAGCAGGGTGTATTAGAGTAGGGTTGTTTTGATGCATGAGACATCTCAAGTCAATAGGGAGAATGAGAGCTGCTTTCTTTTGCCTTTTGCTTCACGTGGACTGTCCATAAAATAGATCTGTGGCTAAGGAGGCCATGGGGAGGGGAAGGGATTGTTGCTGCTACCTCTTTGAATTGTGTCTTACCCCTCCCTCTCTTCCTCATAGATACAAATATTTAACAGATGGATATTGGGATTGATATTGACCTTATAATGAGTGATCAGTAATTTGATTGGGGAAAATGTTTTTTTTTTATTAAATAAAATTGAGAATTGTATTTGTAACTCTTCTGTGTAAGCACAAGTACCCTATCTTGTCATGTTTCCTGTCTTGAATCTTGATCCAATGATAGAGATGCAGGGCAAATACCCGGGATGTTGTCTTCTCACTAACCTCCTCCCTTGTATCCTTAAAACTCTGGACCAAAACCTGTGCTGTTACTTCTGCAGGCTGTGGGCTTCTCTTGACCCTGTTCTCACTTCTTCATTAATGAGATCTTTTCTTTGCCATTATGTGCATCCTGCCTAACTTACAGTATAAGCCTGCATCTATTCCATGTTGTTCACTTTTCTGCTAAATAAATGTTTAATGGTTGTTTTAGCAGCTGTGTGTCCTGTACTCATTACTCCTGTCTCTCTCAAGTATCCCATTTCTTCAGTTGTCACTTCCTACCCCCTTGGGACCACTTTGCATAATAAGGGGTGTGTGTGTTAAAGCTGCCTCCCTGTCATTTGGTGTTCATCCGTGTTCATCCAATCCAAGTGTTTTGTCTTCTCTCTGCAAGCTGCTGTGAGAAACAATTGGTAGTGACATGGAGAGAAAGCACATAGTGGGGGGCTGACTGGATGGCGTAGTGATCTGGCACCCAGGAAATGGCTCACTGCAGATGCTGTTTGAAAATGCTTCTGTGTATTTTATGAAGCCATCCTAATATTATCGTGAATGGGCACTTTGAAACTGTTGTCACAAGTAATTGCTTGTATCTGTTACCTTCGTGTTAAAGCACATGAAATGTGTTCCCTTTCAAACTTCCTTTTTTGGGCTAGGTGCATTCCTACCATCTTGCAAGACAAGTACCTTTCTACGGTTATGTTTCAATGGATAATGTTGCTACCCAGCCACCTAGATGTCTGTGGATGGAGCCAGTTTCTTTCTTCTTATGATGGTGCTTTTATTTCTTTAGTTGTTTTATGTGTGTGTGCTTATCTTTTGCAAGTAGTTCTTAGCAAAGAAGTAAATGCTGCCCAGGACTCCTACCACCTATATATGACTAAGAACAAACACTATACAAGCAATGTGAAGAAATGCTCGCAGAATGTAAGGTTAGAGAGGCTGAAACATAATGTGTGATCCAGGGAAGGTTTGGTAGGGCATTCATTTCTTAAAATTATAAGTGCTGCTCTATTATTTTGAGGGTGTTAACCCCTAATTTTTATTTATTTTTAGATTTCCGGGGGGGTTTCTGCAAACCTGGGGCATTTTCCCGGCTTGTAGAGAGATCTGTGTTCCTTGCTCCCGTCTCCATATTTAAGTATCCACTGATTTGGCAGTGCTGAGAATTAGGTAAATTGGTGCATGCAGGGCTCTTTTTGTAGCAGGTACTCATTTGCATATTAAGCGACACACCCCTAATGTAGCCAATCCTCCAAGAGCTTACAGTAGCTCCTGTAAGAAGAGCTCTGTAAGCTCTTGGAGGATTGGCTACATTAGGGGTGTGTGACCTAATATGCAAAGGAGCTCCTGCTACAAAAAGAGCCCGTAAATATATCTGCTCATAAACTAGGAGAGCATTTTCTAACATTTTTTTGTTTACTTGGGATTATGTAAATTTCCCTGTTGGATGTAAAAACCAAGAGAGTTTTCTTTTTTTACTACAGGAAATTAATCTTTTTTCTGGATCTCCACCAAGTATAGGTTCATCGTACTCTAGCCCAGTAAGGGGGAGGGGGGTCTTCTAAAATATGCATGTAGATTAAAACTAACAAGCATCTGGGCATTTGTCTCATTGAGACTCCCTCCCTTACCATCCCTGTCTCCCAGATATTCATCCTCACATGTTCTTGATCTTCCTTCTCCAGAGGCACTGCAACTGAGACAACACTCGGTGTGTTAAGGCTCATTTAGTCTCCATGTGGGACTTCACTGCTGAATGGATTTCTGTTGCATGGGGGGAAATTTTTTGAACAAGCCTTGAGGGCTGTGCAAAGGCCTTCAGGGATAACCTCATTAGGATAATTAAGCATCTGTGTGGGGATTTTTTCCCTTTCTCCATATGTGGCAACAATTATTAAGTTACAAATTTCTTGTGATTCTTGAGATATTTTGCGGCACTGCTTAAAGAAGGCTGCAGTCACCGAGACAGTTTGCGTGCAGATAAACAAAAGAATCAGACCAGATTTCACTAGCAGACTGTGTACATACAATATGACACTGCAGAAGAGAGTTGCTAGTCTAAACAGGAAAAGGACATATTCAGGTGTACAGAGAACGGAGAAAAATACCTGCAGCTAATCAGAAAGGAATATATTCCAGCTCCTACGTTATGTCACTGTGAGTAGCACATTTTAACTGGTCAGTTTTTGTGAGCTTTAAGAACTCTCAAATGTACTATTATACTGAAAGGCTGCTATTGGAAGTAGAATGCATTGTTCCATTT